AACAATTACGTGTTCTTAATATTTCATAATAATTAATTAACTTTACCTTTTTACAAAGATGAATCCAGATCAAGAATAGATTCCTCTGAAAGCAAATAAATATTAGAATTAAAATTTATTAATAAAGAAATTTTCACGAAATCTGAATTCTAGAAACTGTGAAAAAGTTCAGTTCTTAAAGAGAATGTGTGCTTAATTTCAAGTGACTTTCCATTCAAAGAGGAGGATCCTCGATGCACAACGAGGCGTCAAACCTTATAGAAATCCAACGTATAGAAACCGCTACGTATAGCAACATGGGGTATTTTCCGGGAGACCATTTTTTATATTTTTGAGAAATTAAATAATCAGTGTAAAGTAGCTATAATTTTCATAAAATCCTTTTATTTCAATTGTAAAACGGAATTTTATGAAATCATATTTGCATTACTGGAGAACTTTTTTATACTTTTGAGAAATTTTTTTTCTCTAAAAATAGAACTGTAGATAGAATTTTAGTAAATATTTTTTTTAAATAGTAACATGCAAATTTATGTATAACCATATAATCATTCATTTATGTTGTCAGTACATAATAAAATCTGGGGGACCTTAAACACAATAGAGAGCAGTACAAATGTACATATTAAACTATTTTGCTCCTTTAATGTCTAAGGTATGTTAAAAAAATAGAAATTATGATAATGATATGATGATGATATGATGCAGTGTTTTACAAAAACGTTTAATTCTCAAAAATATAAAAAAAATTTCTCCCGGAAAATACGCCATGTTGCTATACGTAGCTGTTTCTATACGTTGGATATCTATAAGGTTTGAACGATACCCTTTAAACCTTTGACTGATGAAGGCCATGTATTAGTCTACTGAAATGTTTTAATTGCTATTCACTTACTTGGCAAGCAATTATATGTTTAAGAAATATCAATAGCTACGTTCTAAAAGTGGCAGAAAACTTAAATTTTCTTTTAGTTGAAACCTGTTGTAAATTGGGCATTGCCCTCTTTGTGTGGAGGGTCACTTGTTATTACACTAACAGTCCCTTTCAGACAACTTATTTTAACATTTTAAACTATTTTCCGTAGAAGTTGTATGTTATGTATATTAGTATGCTAGGTCAGTATTTAATATGTGTACTATAAACTGTTACCTATTTGTTTAGCTGTCCTAGGTACATGTATATTAAGAGTGTATGCTAGGGTAGTATGTACTATGTGTACTGTACACTGTTACCTATTTGTTTAGCTGTCCTAGGTACATGCATATTAAGAGTGTATGCTAGGGTAGTATGTACAATGTGTACTGTACACTGTTTACCTATTTGTTTAGCTTCCCTAAGTACATGTATATTAAAAGTGTATGCTAGGGTAGTATGTACTATGTGTACTGTAAACTGTTACCTATTTGGTCAGCTGCCCTGGTAAATGTATATTAAGTGTGTATGCCAGAGTATGTACTATGTGTACTGTAAACTGTTTACCTATTTCTTTAGCTGCCCCTGGTACATGTATATTGAGAGTGTACGCTAGAATATGTACTATGTGTACTGTACACTGTTTACCTATTTGTTTAGCTGCCCATGGTACATGTATATTAAGAGTGTACGCTAGGGTAGTATGTACTATGTGTACTGTACACTGTTTTACTATTTGTTTAGCTGCCCCTGGTACATGTATATTAAGAGTGTATGCTAGAATATGTACTATGTGTACTGTACACTGTTTACCTATTTGTTTAGCTGCCCTAGGTACATGTATATTAAAAGTGTATGCTAGGGTAGTATGTACTATGTGTACTGTAAACTGTTACCTATTTGGTTAGCTGCCCTGGTAAATGTATATTAAGAGTGTATGCCAGAGTATGTATTATGTGTACTGTAAACTGTTTACCTATTTGGTTAGCTGCCCTGGTAAATGTATATTAAGAGTGTATGCCAGAGTATGTATTATGTGTACTGTAAACTGTTTACCTATTTGGTTAGCTGCCCTGATACATGTATATTAAGAGTGTATGCTAGGGTAGTATGTACACTGTTTACCTATTTGTTTAGCTGCCCCTGGTGCATGTATATTAAGAGTGTAGGCTAGAGTGTGAACACCAATGAGAATAACCATAATTCCGATGAGAACAACAATTAAATCATTGATTGGCGTTCCTGTATAGGTTCGTTTACTGAACAATAAGAGGTTATTAGTCATGTATTAAGAAAAGAGCATTCTTCAGGGTTACCCTGCACAATAAATGAGACTGTAGAGACGACCTAAAACTCTTTAAAATATGACGATACTAAGTCTTCTGCTTTCAGTCTTGTAACGCGCTTATAATGATTTGACTAAGAAATGAAGAAGCTTACAGTTGCATGGAATCATGCATATAACGAAACAGTATAAACTAGGTACAGTCGTCTCATCTCATATCTTGTGGTTAACCATGTTTTTTTCCGGTTTTTTAATATTAAAGATTTTTTGGCTACCAGGTGAGCACTGAACAGCAGACAATAAACCTAACTGCGGACAAAGTTCCTAACTGCTGACAAAATACCTAGGTGGACAAATCCCCCAGCGGTGGAAAAAATATTTAACGGTGGACAATAAACCTAATATACGTAACGGCCGACAATAAACCTAACGGTGGAAGATATACCTAACGTTGGATAATATACGTTATGGCGGACAATATACCTGAAGGCGGATAAATGACTGCCAGGAATAAACTCGTTAAACCAGTCTCTTGTTTCTCTCTTCACCTTCTCAATATTCTCATAAACCATCTTTATCTGCAGTACACTCATTGTTTGTTTACAAATAGTAGATATACGGTGGTTACTAGTAACAATGGAATGAAAGTCGTCTTTGTTTTGTCTTTCATCTCAAGACTTCTCAAGACAAGAATTTTTATTTTTGTTTAATGTTTTTTGATGTACAGTGATAACCAGAAAACTCTGAAATAGGAAGACGACTTTATAGTAATACCTAAGTGTATTTAATGGTGTTAAAAAGCAAATAGTTCTACTAGACACTTATTAAATCACTAAATAAGTGAAATGGGTCTGTTTAAACTGTACAATTGCTGCGAACCATGTTTATTAGACCATTTATAGTCATATCTTCAGTCTTTAAGTCGTCTTCACATTTCAGAGTTTTCTGGTTATCACTGTACAATGATTTATGTGCATTTTAAAAGGAGTAATTGTGTCTTTACTCAAGAAGAAAATCAGTTTTTTTATATATTTATGATTTATGATAATCAATAAACAATTAGTAACCAAACATTACACACCAATTTTTCTAGATAAGTTTCAGAGACAAATCTCTATATTTATAAAGTAGTAATCTCTGTTTGTTTGTATGTCCGACCATAACCCTCAAAACCTTCGGGGCCGATTTACCTCAAACTTTGATCGGGGAACTCGGTATAAACACGGTAATGTTCTTAGCTTGGTTGAACAATTCTGAGTAGAGTGAGTTGACTTTTTTAGAGAAAATTTAACTTTCACACAAATCTGGGTTCCCAAGCTAGTCGGAAGTAAAGTTTCAATTTGAAAAAAAATTATTTCTGAACTTTTCTCCATTTCTGCTGCAGGCCGGGTTTTTTTATGAGAAATATGAAAGTGAAAGGGCGTCATCAAGTTTTTACATAATCGTGTTTCCTTATCTGATATTTTCTCCTCTTTACGCTGAACTAAGGTTAATTTAGTTTTCACGACATCAAAGTTAACTTTTAACTTTTAAAATGATGAATTATGTAAACAGTGAAGTTGTTAAAAAGGTGCGTGCAAGGTTGTGTTGGTAAATACGAAATTATTAGATCAGCTATAGACTCTGCATTAATTGGGTTAACTTTCAAAGAAATTAACATGTCACCAATTTCCAGAGTTATGTTATGCCATTACTTCATTTGTTCTTTTAGTTATAAACTTTTAAATTAAAAAACTAAGATAAATTCATAGCTTTTCGCGATACAACTGGTTTCTAAGACTTGCTATATACGAATTTTAGAACACTTTCTCAGCGGATATTACAGAACGATGTTTTGTGTTTTTCTGGTTACTACTAAACCTCTTAAATCTAGGTTTAACATTACTCTGCTATGCTCTGTATACTAATGAAGACCAGGAGAGAAACCTTTCCTAAAACCTGTTTACCAAGGGTGCAGCAGATTTTAATCCGCGCTCACATACATCATATTTATCATTCATAATTAGGAGGAAAGAGGGGTTTCTTAAAATCGCAATGCACTAAATTTAACATTTAAAAAGTAGTGATTTCCGGAAAATGTTGTGGCATGGAAGACCGAATAGTTGCGGCTCATGTCGGCCAAAAGATAACCTCGTTTCCCAGCTTATATAGAATTTAGTTATGTTAATCTTATTATTGCTTCTGAAGCAAGAAATGCGCAAGTCACTTCATGTTATAGAGAAACCACACATGAAAATAGTCAGTTTTCAAAAATTTAACTATAGATACATATATATACTTCAAAGGAACTGAGTTTTTGCCACAAACTTAAATATTCTTATTCCTATATCTTAGCAACCCAATGTCGTAGACCTTAGATATTTCAAACTATTAATTCTGTTAGATCAAATAATCTAAGTTTGAAATATCAAAGGTTTATACCCCCTAGTTCCAGAGATATAGAAATTAGAAAATTTGAGGTTGTGGCAAAAACTCAATTCCTTTGATCGATTACGATTACAGTCTCTGATAGTTAACCTACAATAAAACTAAGCTTTCGTTGCATACTGCAGTGATCTGCAGTGGTGAATACTGCAGTAGACCGGACCGACCATAGAAATAGAAAATCTGTAAAAATAGTAATTTTAATTAAAAATAGGTTTTAAAGTCATAAAGCTGTAAAATGTCAATTTCAAGAGGTTTGTAATTTTAAATCAACAGTTATAAAACTCATGCAAAACCTTTACGCTTATAAAATAAATTATTAAAGGCGTCTAAACAATCGTTATGATTTATAAATTGTGAGCAATAATATAATTTATGAATTATAGGTAATATATATTTGTATATAGTTAACTAATAACGGTAAGCTTAAAGATTCTTAATAACAAAATAAACATAAAGATAACAAAAAATATTTTTTTCAAATTTGAGTTATGATGCAGCATCCCGCTCTAGTCCCGGCATTCCCACTGAGACCAGTGAAATCGTCCGGTCCTGCCAATTTCACTATTATTACTATAAGTTTTATTATTATATTATCATTATTATTATCTAGAGTATGTACTATTTATTGTGTACTGTACAGTGTGCACTGTTTACCTATTTGTTTTTAACTGCCCTTGGTACATGTATATTAAGAGTGTTTGTATTATTATTATTATTATTATTATTATTACTAATACCGTCGTGTACGACCAGGCTTCTACCAATGATACTGTATATTCCGGTAAGAACTGCTAATCCGTCTTTCAAACTAAACAAAATTAAATATTATTCTTCTCTGTTGTTTTCACAAAATGCTCAAATATTTTTAGGGTTTAAGTGATTAATAATTTAAGAGTTTGTCTTTTAAATCAACGAAAAAAGCTGAAGAATTTTATTTTTTATCATCTAAAGGTAAAGTTTTATTGTTTCAAGCTTTTTAACATTTTAAATTGATATAAACCTTTTTTTATTTTTTATATTCCCAATAAATCCCCCCCCCTCCCCCAAATAAACAAAAATATCAAAAAATATATATATTTTTTGCTCCGTCAAAATTATTTTTTGCAATTTTACTTCACGAAAAAGTTGTTAAAAAAAATGTTCTAATCTTTTTTCTATTTTAAGATAAATATAAATAAAAAGTACTTGACAGTAGCCAATCCCGTAGCGTCAGCCACAATGTTGCCTAAATAAAATTGTATAATTTTTGATAAATTCGATTTATAAAAATTGATATTTAAAAGGAGCTTTTTCTGATCCACATATGTGTCGATTTTTAGCTTGAAAAGTGTTTAAATCTTTAAGTTTTCTTAAAGAGGAATGAGCAAGTTAGAAAACACAAATTAAAATTATCTGTTTCCAAATTATAAATATAGATATCTAATTCATATTTTATCCGACAAAACTTTACAGGGTACCGTTGTGAATCGGGCATTCCATCTGTGTATGGAAGAAAATTTTTTAGTGCGCATAAAGTACCTAATTCCTCTAGAGGTCCCTTAAAATTACGTTTACAGTCCCTTTAAGGATTACACCAGTTTACCTAAATCTCCAATATGGCGGATTGCTGATACTTGAGATCCATGATTAGTCTAAACAGATACAAATAATATTTTAATGATTAATAAAACATTTTTTAAACATTTATCAGCAATAGAAAACTCGAAAAATTACTTTAAAAACCCTTGATCTACATTAATCTACATTAATCTAAAGTTATAAAAAATTGATCTTTTAATAGTCTTCAATTAGTATCGCTATAGCTCAAAATACAATGGTTAAAATATCTCTTAAAAATACGTTTTGAACATCTCTAGAGTCTAGACATAGTTCGTTACCGTTACAAATAACAAAATTGTAAGCTAAATTTATAAAAAAAAATATTAAACCAAGACGACTTTCACTTTGCTCTATATTGTTGTGTATGTTCAATGTAGATCAAACTTTTCTTTCACGCTTCACAACACACTAATTTTATAAAGTAAGAGTGGAATTTTAAAATATAAAATATTTACTTGACAAATTTAAGATTCACGAATTAAAGGACTTTCACTTATTCTAATAAATCTAATTCCGCAAACAGAGTTGGTTGCACAAGTTGCACAGTGATTTAGCCGTCGACTGGTCAGTTAGCCTAACTTTGGAACCCATTTTCACCCGTTAAATATAGATTTTTGTTTAATTATATTTTTAATTTAAAGACATTAAGTTTTTAATTCAAGTTCCGACGGATTATTAATTGAGATAAACTATAACTATAAATATGTCGAGACTTGTACTTCGTTGCAGTTAGTTTTAGGTGGGTTTATATCAATACAATGAAGACGACTATCGAATTCAGTTGTGATTTAAATTAAGCTGTTAAACAGCATGGATACAAAAAGTCAAGAGAATTTATTTATTTGAAAAAGGTTTTCTTTTATTATTTGTAAATTTGCAGATTTCGAAAAAAAGCGTGATATCAATGTGTGTAATACTTTCAAGCAAACAGCAAGACTCTCCATGCTTGTTTATTTCAATGACCACTGCATATCATATAATAAAGTGAATGAGCTTACATTGAGAGGGTTATAATGGTCACCAGTATCTAAACAGCTGTTTCCAAGTGCTCCAGCTGTGTGCACGTGGAAACCATGGGATCCTGGAGTCAATCCAGCAATACTCCCGTTATAACTAAAGAAAGAAAAAAAATAATTTAAGAGTTACTCACAAAGGATGAGACTGTAAAGACGACCTGAAACTCTCAAAATATTTAGTCTTGTAAGGCCTTATTTAATGATTTGGCAAAGAGCGAAACCTGTTTACAGTTGCAGGGAGTTATGAATATAAGGACGCAGGACAACGTTTTATATGATTTTATTAACCCTTTTTTTAAAATTAATTTGTCAGGGTTGAAGGGTTTAGGGATGGTTCAGGGGTTCAAGGTTCATGGTTTATGGTTTAGGGGCCTAGAGGTTCTGGGTCAAACTCAAAGGTCCTGGAGTTTAGGGGTTTAAGGGATAAATTACTTCAGGATTTCAAGGTCTCATAGTTCAGAGTGTTTATCGGATCAAGGTTTACAGTTAAAAGTTCATTATTCAGGGTTCAGGGTTCGGAAATCATTATTCAGGAATAAGGATTTAAAGAACAAAATTGTATCAGAAGTCTGGCTCACAGGTTAAAGATTCCAGATTAGATTCAGGACTGAATACACTCAATATAATTTTACCTGGCTACACCAGAGGAAGCATCCTGGGTTATCAGTATAGTGCCACTAGAAGATATTCATTTATCGATTGATTGATTGATTGGTTTATTGATTTATTCATTGATGTATTGATTAATTCATTGATTTATTGAATAATTCATTGATTTTTTATTAATTCATTGATTTTTTGATTAATTCATTGATTTATTGATTAATTCATTGATTTTTTGATTAATTCATTGATTTATTGATTAATTCATTGATTTATTGATTAATTCATTGATTTATTGAATAATTCATTGATTAATTCATTGATTTTTTGATTAATTCATTGATTTTTTTGATTAATTCATTGATGTATTGATTAATTCATTGATTCTTTGATTAATTCATTGATTTATTGATTAATTCATTGATTTATTGATTAATTTATTGATTTATTGATTAATTTATTGATTTATTGATTAATTTATTGATTTATTGATTAATTCATTGATTTATTGATTAATTCATTGATTTATTGATTAATTCATTGATTTATTGATTAATTCATTGATTTATTGATTAATTCACTTATTCATTTATTGTTTGATTTCCTGATTTATAAGTATTGCTTGTGTTGTCTGTTTTTTTACAGGTATAACCAGTTTTCTGGTAGTTTTGTTAATAAGATAATTTAGAATGACGATTCGAATGCCGCAACTTATTTCAGAAATCAATGACGATCTTCAAGCTGTCTCTCAACAAATGGAACACCTTTTATGTAACATTAGAAATTACCTAATGGTTGTGCTAGTCCCCGTTCCTGGTACGAAAACACACTGAGCTGAGGTCCTTGTAGCTAAATATGTAAACACATTTAGGAAAAAAAATTATAAATCCAAAATGTTAGTAAAATATGCGATAAATATACTTGAACAAAAATAGAACTTGTTTAGTAAACGTATGATTAATGTGGTAAGCTATAATAAGCTTAAATAAACTTATATTTGAACTGTTGTACTGAATTTTCTAACTGTACCTGTACCATGAACTGTAAACCGTTTTACACGTATACTACATGGATACCCTCAAATAATGAGTCCTTTTGACGGCCTAATGATTTCATTTTGGTTTATATCTTTAATATAGTTTTATATAAAATGATTTGGCGAAGAAAAAAGAAAGTGTACAGTTGCAGGGAGCCAAGAATGTAAGGATAAGACTGAGTAAATTTCGCACTGTCGTCTTTGAAGTCTCATATTTTGTGGGTAACTTTGGAAACTAATTTATCAATCTTTTCCGGGCAGTCGGTTGGTTGCTTTGTTAGAAGCAATCACTTTACCTGTAGCTGTGGTTGTGATGCTGCTAGCAGCTGTTATCAATGTGGTTGCTGTATTAGTAGCAACTATTTTACCTGGAGTTGTGGCTGTGATGTTGTTAGCAGCTGTTATCAATGTGGTTGCTGTGTTAGCAGCCACCAAGGCTACAAGAACAGCTCCAAAAAACAATCCTAGTTCAGCAAACTGAAACGGCCCACTTTGACGTTCACTAATTAGAAGAATGTTTTTAATCTGGACTAACACAAACCTTTCATGGATCTACACTCCAGTCCAAATCCTTCCTGGACCTATAATCCAATCCAATCCTTCCTGGACCTACTCCAACCCTTCCTGGACCTATAATCCAGTCCGATCTTTCCTGAACCTACTCCAACCCTTCAGCTGAACCTACTCCACCCGTTAATGTGCCTACTCTAACAGTTCCTGGACCAACTCCAACACTTTCTGGACATACTCCAACCTTTCATATCCTACTCCAACTCTTCCTAGACCTTCTCCACTCATTCCAGAACCTACTCCGACACGTCCATGGCCTAATCTACTCCTTCCTGAACCTACTCCAACTGTTCCTGAACCTACTCAAACTATTCCTGAACCTACTCCACCCCCTCAATGACCTAATCCAACATATCCTAAACCTGGTTCAACCCTTCAAGGACCTACTCCAGCCTCCCTCTATGGTCTACTTCAAACCTTCCTGCTCCAACCCATCTATGACCTGCTTGAACCCTCCAATGACCTACTAATGCTGTGAATACCTGAACCCGGAGAATTGGTTGCTAGGATTGAACTGGTCGAATTGATAAAACCAGTCTCTAATCTCTCTCTTCACCTTACCTAAGTTTTCTCCTTTAACCATTTTTATCTTAAAAATAATTATTTCAAAACTGTTAAACTGAATATTGTAAAATGATAGGAGCCATGGTTTCTCCTATTGATATCCTATTTTCTGTCTAATTATCCAACTGGTGTCAAGAAATCAGGATTTATCAGTTGTTCCGAATGTCCTATTGTGTTTGCCAAGGTTTATCCTTAGCGTCCGAATTTATGCCAAGAACATTTACTTGAGGTAACTCAGTGAATTTGGGGGGGTTACCACATTAATCTCCCATATAGGATAGGATGATTCATTTGGTGTACCGTCCCTTTTTGGTGTCTCTAGTCTGGATGGCATATATAATGTACATAACAGTCTGAAGTGGGATATCAAGATCAAGCATTAAACTCGATCTTTTCCTAATCTGCAGATTAATTTAATCTTTATTCGATATCAAGTGAATTGCCTAAAATTCAACCAACCAAAGTCTTGTATGCAGAAAACGAACAGCTAATCAAAAGCCCGGAAATATTTGCGTTCAGCCAATGAGTGAGCAGAGAAATTGTTGATATGAAAACAATTAATAGATCAAGCAGATTATACGTAAAGTTTAAAAGTGACCAATGTGGATATCGAGATCCCTCAATCCTGATTATGGGAATCCAATAATGTTTTTAAAAAATGTTTATTGATGTAGAATTACTGGTAAATCTTAATAATCTTTATTAACTTCCTATTAATATCATTCTAACCCCTTGCCCTTTAGACAAATTATTACAATATCGATAAACAATTTCCATGGTTGGTCTGTTTTCCTTAATATATTGACGCTTTAACATTAAATACTTTCTCTGAGCAGCAACCATTTTCTTCAAACACAGATAATCAATTTGAAAAGGGCATCTGTTATCTCTGTATTGTCCAACCCATCCAATATTATTAAACCAATACCTAAAAGTTATTTTTCAATTGTTATAGTTATAGTTTCGAAAAATTCTTTACAGAAGGCAAGGTTTCTTAAACTTTCTAGCATTGAATTAATCTATCATTATAATATAAGCAAGACATATATTTGTGTCATTTTTTTTTATTTATAAGGTCTATTTTTTATTTCATTATTTTTTGTATTTTTCATGATCTGAGATTTACTTTTGAAAACATTTATTCCTGTTTCGAGGATTTTTGATAATGAAGACGACATATTTATATTTTCCAGGAATGTTCGAAAATCCATCGAAAAATTATTTTAAAAAATCAAAAATATTATGAAATATTAACTATATAAGAATGCGTCGAAAAATAATCGATGACTACTGTTTGTAATATCTGAATGATTTGTTTGGAATTAAATTGATTTGCTTACGATCCGAGTTGAATGTTGCATCTTTCCGATATTTATTTTCCTATAGTTTTTGTTAACTATACTAAAAACATTGTGATTAGTTAGCTCAAACTCTTATTTTTAATCCAGGTATCTTTGCAACCTGATGGCGAAAACCTTTGGTATTTCTTACTAAGACAATTCGAACAGAATTAAAATTGAAATATCAAAGGTCTAAAATCAATAATCATCAAGTGGCAACGACATAAGGATTAGTAAATTTGACTTTGTAGCAAGTAATCAGATTCTTTCTTTTGTTCATGATTCTAGAAATTTTAATGCACAAATTTTGAGTTGTTTTCGAATAAATAAAATTAATTAAGAAATGATTTTGTGAATATTTTATTTATGTTTTTACGCTTAGCTTAATGTTATATAAAAATGAAGAATTGAAATGTGTCCGTCTGAATTTAAGAAAAACCTATCTGAGACTTACATATGGGATCAGGATCTCTATTAAAATGTGTTTGTGAAGGTGTTTCTGCAAGAACTGATCTAACTAAATGCTGACGAGAATCTAAATATTGTAGCTTACCGAGATATAGCGCGTGAAGAGCGCGGGAAGGCTTTCCTGCGAAAGAAACTGCGCAGTGCGGAAAGAGAAATAAAACGACATTTTTGTTAAAGTTGACGCAAACACAGTTCACACAATTCGCGGTGTAGTGTACTGCACAGAGGGGGGGGGGTATGGGTGCTCAGCCCCCCTTAGATCAGAAAAACCCCTGGAAATATTTCTGATACGCCTTTGACAACAAATGTTAAGTTTATTAACTATAAGTCTGCTTCGAGTTCTTTTATCTTGTCAAGGACATAAATATATATGGTTCCAAAATCTGTACATGGATATGAATATATCTAAATACGTGAATGTATGTCTGTATAAGGACATAAATTATGTCTGTCTAAGTACATGAACGAATGTCTGTCTGTCTAAGGACACTAATGTATGTCTATCTAAGGACACGAATCATATCTATCTAAAAACGTGAATGTATGTCTGTCTAAGGACATGAATGTATGTCTGTCTAAGGACATGAATGTATGTCTGTTTAAGGACGTAAATGATATTTTGTTCCGAATGATATACAAGGACAAATAAAGTATTATTAGGTCATAATTAAAAGTGAACAAAGATGCTGAGATGATCGGACAAAACTTGCATAATGTCGGGCATTCAAAGATTATAATGTCGGCACTACAAGGATGATAATTTGCTGAATTGCTGTATCATCAAATACAATACATTACATAATCTTTAGTTCTCTACAGCGTCCATCTTCACTGTCTATTTTGCTTCTAACATTCTCGTATATATTTGATCTATGTTAGGATTTAATAAGATATAATATTATGCAACCAAACGAACCAAGCTCTTACCACAAACTCAAATTTGAATCCGTGTATCGTTTGATATTTCAAACTATATATGAAGTCTGTGACATCAAATAGTCTCAGTTTGAAATATCAAAGATTTACACCATCACGTTGCAAAGATATAGGGATTATACATGTTTGAAATTGTAACAAAACCTCAGTACATTTAATTGTACATAAATGTAATAATTAGGATCGAAAACATGATCATTTTTATTCTGTTTAGGAAATTTTTACTTCTTTAAACTACAAAATAAAATTCATCAACAAATAGAATGACAAAAATACGTGCATTTTGTTTTATGGTTATATATTTTAGAAACATGAACTAAGAATAAATCAATAATTTGAAATATGATAACTTATAACAATTGTGAACATCAAGATTTTCATAGATATCAATCTTAACTGGAATTTCGGAATGAGAAACGTCTCATACATATCTTAGAATAATAATTTTAAAACCTTATTCCAAATTTATGGAACATTATGCAGTTTTAAACACTTTGGTTAATGTTTACTCTTTAAATGTAGAAAGCACACAAGGGCTGAAAGGTTTAAATTGAAAGAGATAAGCACTTACAAAATGTATTGTTTCACTTCTCGTATAAAACTAACTATGCAGATGCAGTATTTTAATATGCTGCAGGGCGTATACAGGGGGGGGGCAAGGGGTTAAGTGCCCCCCTAGACCTGTAAAGGACTCAGAGCTTTCACACTTCTTAAATCTTAAACTGAAGAGTGAAGAACATGAAAAAAATGAGTTTGCTGTTCATTCACTGTATTGAACCAGAGCACACCAGGACAGAAGTCTGAAAGAAAAATCTATCTAGAATGCACATTCATCCTAATCGGATGGGCGCTATCAGGGATTGGGAAGTAAGACAATTATTTTTAAATGCCAAGCCACGAAGGCTTGAGTTTGGAGATCGTAAAATACCATTTTTTTATTTGGATTTAATTTACTTTATTTATTGCACCGCCGTTTTGTAATCTTTCTTTTTATTACAAACTAGCTGAAGTACTCGGCGTTGCCCGTGGAATTTTAAAAATCGAATTAAAACAGCTTTTGTCATCCCCAAGGGTACCCATCAGTTTCCTCACTAAAATTCAGCCCATTTGATTCAGCCGTTTGTCCAGCCATAGCAAACATATAAAAGAACGAAGAGCTTTATTATACTTTTTTTCCCAACAGAAACTTTTACAAGTCATAATTATTTTCTGGACCTTTGTCTTTTTTTTCATCTCATAGAATTAAGTTAAGGTTGAGTTTTTCATTTGCAAAAATGTCTTTTACTATCTCTAGTTTAAATAATAATTATTACTAACATAACAGTATAAAAATGTTTTTTACTATCTCTAGTTTAAATAATAATTTATTACTAACATAACAGTATACAAATGTCTTTTACTATCTCTAGTTTAAATAATAATTATTACTAACATAACAGTATAAAAATGTCTTTTACTATCTCTAGTTTAAATAATAATTATTACTAACATAACAGTATAAAAATGTCGATTTTTTAGAAACAACGTTTTCTTTCTCCTCTTGCAAGGTAATTGGACTGTATGTGTACCTTTAAAGTATCTTATACTTTTATGCCTGATATCGAAGAAGCCAAATGTTTTGAATTTACAGTTCAAATTTTGCCCCCCTTCACCCCCTAGGAGCTTCTTGATGATAATGAAATAAATTGAGATCGAATCCAAATTCCAAGATAAAACTTTTCTAACGCCCTGCTTTCTGTCCATACTTACATGTCAGGAGGTAAGGGGTGCAATCCCCCCCCCCCCATAAAAACCCCGTAAAGAAGTTAGAGGGGATGCCTTTATTTTCTATTTTATTGTTGTTAACCAATCTTGACATGATAACGCCTATAAAACAAGCTTTTTAAACTCAGAGCGAATATTCTTCAGCATAACTCTGAGTATTATAAAATGGTTTACGTGTATCCCAGTATCCTTAATGTATCCCTGTGTCCTTGTATCCTAGTATCCTTTTTTCCCAGTATTCCTGTATTACAGTATCCCTGTTTCCCAGTATCCCATTATCCCAGTAACCCAGTATATCTGTGTCCCTGTATCCCTGTATCATTGTATCTCTGTATCTCTATATCCCAGTACCCCAGTATCCTAGTATTACTGTATCCCAGTATTCCTGTATTACTGTATCACTGTTTCCCAGTATCCCATTATCCCAGTAACCCAGTATATCTGTGTCCCTGTATCCCTGTATCATTGTATCTCTGTATCTCTATATCCCAGTACCCCAGTATCCTAGTATTCCTGTATCCCTGTATACCTGTATCCC